GCTGGTGCCCTGCAGGGAACAGGGGCAGCCACTAGCCAGGTGCTCCATCGCAGGGGCCTCATCGATCGCCTTGTTTTCACCTCCAGCTACCTCACTTCAGCCTCCTACCTTTGCACCCAGATACACAAACCGATAGTCGGCTGTCCTGACATCGTGCTGCGGCTGCGGCTGCTCACGGGCATCGTACAACTCATTCAGCCAGTCGTCAAAGAAGAAGGAGGGGCAGTGGTAGGCTTGATACTGCGGATCAAAGGCCGCCAAGTGCCAGTCCTTGCAGTACCACAAGGGACCAGGAGTCAGCAACGTGCTGGATGCCCTCGTTTCCTCCTCCTCCTCCTGCTGCTGCTGCTGCTGCTGCTGCTGCTGCTGCCACCAGTCAATGTACTCTGCCAGCAGCATCTGCCGGCAGGGCCCGCTCCCCTCGTGCTCTCTGCGTGCACAAGAAGCCCGTTGCAAGAGGGGAGTCATCCCGCAGCAGCCTTTACCTGCTGGCTGGCACGCACTCGCACCTGGCAGTGTCTGTGACCATGACCTGCGCATGTCCAAAATGCTGCCGCAGGAAGTCGAAGTCGATTGCGCCACATGGGGTAACCCAGTCGACTGCTGCCCGCCAGCCCTCCGTCGCACCCTCAACAAGGACCGGGGCATTTGGCTCCATAAACTCCAGGCAAAAACGCGCATAGCTCAGCTCTGAGGCGGGGAGGCGGGGAATGGAGCTGGTCTCGGCGGCGGGCGCCAAGCCGGGCTCCGCCGGCGGCGGTGCGCCGCTGTCGCCAGCGGTCAACACAACCTGAACGCACATTCGCGATCGATCTATTTCTCGCCATTCAGTGCAGCGGAGCATCCACACGACAGCACGCCATGCCAACCTCTGTAGTTGCAGCAGCAGGCCGAGAGAGGAGCGTGCGCCAGGGTTCGTGCATCTGCGGCCAAATGATGGATAGACGAGCGATGCCCTGGGGGGAGGGGGCCAGGCATTATGGCAGCGGGTCGCCGTGGCGGCAGCGTTGGCAGCGGGCGTGCCTTGGAGCCGTTGCCGGCCTTGCCTGGCTTGGCATTCCTGCCTGGTGAGAATCGACAGCAGATACATACCACATGACATTTCATGCAGGCTGGGGTTGGTGCAGGCAGTTTCTCGCTGCGCAGGCCGACCGATGCTCACCGACTCACTGTGGAGAGGCAATAATACAGTTGGGCATCAGTTGGGTATTTGATGAATCAATGGGAAGAATCCGAGGCACAAAGTTGGGCAGGGACATACAGCAAATAGCAACCATACGGATTCATTCCTCAATCA